ATAAACCTAACACATTTAGTTAGTAAAATATAATGGCTAAGCTACTATCAAAAGTAACTACTATTTGTAAGAATATTAAAAACAAATTATCTCTAAAAAATAAAAACCACTCCTTTCACTATATTTTTAGAATATAGAAAACATATCTCAACTCATTTAACATAGAAATCCTGAGTCATTCAACATTCACTAAATAATCATTGAAGAAAATCTGGAAAACACAGAAAATTGTAAGAATATAAAAATCTATCCATAACCCCACTACTTAAAATATCCTTTCATTAATACTTTGTAGATTACAAATCTACAAAAACAGAAATACATACACATTTATAAGATTAAAGTTATGCATATATATTTTTTCTGCCACATATAATATGAAATTTTTATCATTATTCCACAACTTAAATTCTAAAGGAAAAGAAAGCTCCTGTAGAAGTGTGTTAATATTTCTTTTGTTCAATTGTGTTTTAAATGTCAAGACAAAAATCAAAGAGATTGCTTCTTTAAGAATGAGCAATAAAGCAAATTAAAATAATATTAAAAGAAAATTCATGCTGATTAAAAAACATACATCAGGCACATCACACAAAGTAAGTCTTACAAATTAAGGCAGAACTTCAAGATCTCAGGAAGAAGTAGTAAGATGCAGTGATTCATCTAATATCCTGATCACCAAGGAAATTCTTTTGAGAGATAAAACTCCACCATGGGAAAATATCTTTTGGTCTTTTCTACCCTTTTACCCCCCTATTTTTTTTCCCGTTTCTGACCTAGAAGAAGAAGACGGAACACTGGAGAGAGAAAAAATGCTTTGAGGAATTCCCTGAAGTTAGTAGGGATGAACTTTACAGAGCAAAAAAAAATGTTCATTAAAGACTCCAAATCCACTGGTGGAGGGAGAAAGCTCAGATATCCTCTATTTTCAGATCAAGTTTCCCCAAGAATAATCAGAGTGAATCTTCTCAGGAAAATCCTAGGACTTTTTGATACTTTAAGTGTCATTTTCAGGATATAGATTTTATTGACAATCTTGTGATGTCTTCCCTAAGAACTTAAAAATCATTTATTTTCTGAATAAGCTATCTCAGCACAAGTGTGAAAGTCTCCCTCCCACTCCTGTCTCCTGGCCATTTAATTTTTCTCCCTGTTGGTCAACACAATGATCAGTTTCTGAAGTAGTTCCAGCGATAGCTTACAGATGGGCAAATATATGTATATGATTTTTTTATACAAAAATTAACACCATGCCAATTATATTGCTTGTATCTTGCTTCCCCTCTCCCCTTAATAATCTTGGGAGTTTTTTAGAACGAGTATAAAAGAGTTGCTTCATCATTTTTCTTTTTCTTTTTTTTATTCTTTTCTCCCTTCTTTTAAAATTTTCCCTCAATGTCATAATTTTTAATAAACATGGGATAATACAGAGAATGGGTGTATCATAATATTTTCCTTATTGATGAATATTTAAGTTGCTCTTGATATTTTGCCATTATAAACAATGATCCAATGAATAACCTTACATATATCTTTTCAAATCAGTATAAATATATACAGGAGCTAAACTCCCAGAAGAATTGCTAGGTCAATTGCAATGTTCATTTATAATATTGACAACTATTTCCAAATGGTGGTCCATAAAAGTTTCACCAATTTTACTCCCACAAATATACATTTTCAAAAAAATATACACATTTTCCCCCTAAACTTTTAATTTTTTGGGGGGGAAGGAACTGGGGATTGAACCCAAAAGCTTTCTAACACTGAGCTACATCCACAGTCATTTTTATATTTTATTTGGAGACAGGATCTAAGTTGCTGCGGTTGGCCTCAAACCTGCCATGTTCCTGCCTCAACCTCCCACGTCACAGGGATTACAAGTGTATGTCACTGTGCCTGTTTACTTTTGCCCTTTAATTTTTTGCCAAATAATAGGTTAAAAATGATAACTTGTAGATATTTTTTCTTTTAGTGAACAAGGCTGGCATTATTTCATTTTAAGAGGCTCTGTACTTCTTTTTTTGTGTGAAATTTTCATGTCCTTTGACCATTCTCCTATGGTCTTTTACTTGCTGATTTGTAGGAACTCTTTGTATGTTTAAAGAATGAATTTGTAGGAACTCTTTGTATGTTTAAAGAATGACTGTTACTGATAACACATGTGCACAAAATATTCATTAAACTATTACCTGAAAATGCAAAATGTGAGAAACAATTTAAATGCTCAACTATAATAACTATCATAAATGTACAAAAGTTACATGATGTATAATATAGCAACACACTGAATGAGAAAGTGATATGAAAATCTAGCCATCTTTTATTAAGCCAGACACTGAACAGATTCATAAAAGCATGAAACAATTATCATCTTTTCCCTAAAATTTTCTGGTTTGGAAAATAGTTATTTCTGATAAACAATACACTTAGCTCTAGCCCCAATCCATGAGTTTTGTGACCACAGATTCAATAGCTACTGATTCAAAATATTTTTAAAAACTTGCATCTGTACTGAACATTTATGGGTTATTTCTTATCATTGCTCCCTAAACAACATGGTATAACAACTATTTATATAACATTTATACTGTATTAGAGATAATGAGTAATTTGGAGATGCTTTAGAGTATACGGGAGGCTGTCTGGGGGACATATGCAAATATTATATCATTTGCAGCATTTGAAAACTTTGGTATCTGCAATAGGATACAATTCCCCATGGGATACTAAGGTAAGACTATATATTTTTATGTTAATACGTAATGGTTTTATTAATGCTATTTTTAAGTAAATTAATAAACTTTTAAAATTCTCACTTCGAGTTTTAATGATAAATATCAATGTATATCCCATTTAAAAAAAAAAAGCCCTGTGATGACTTTAAAATGAGCCTGAGACCAAAATGTTGAAATACATACCACTGGAAACAAACAAATCAGGATTTCATAAAGCCAGAGTGCTAAAAGGCAGACAGATAGATAAATAAACTGGGGAGACAAAAGGGCTTTTACTTACTAGAGTACTAACATAAATATAGAGCAAGTGCCAGGGTTGGAAAAATTACCATTTTGTAAGCATCATGGTAAAGAATGGTTCTGGTAAGAAATATTAATGGGGTTGGGGATGTAACTTAGTGGTAGAGTGCTTGCCTAGCATGTGCAAGACTCCAGGCTCAATCCCTAGCACTGGTCAAAAGAAAGGAAGGAAGGAAGGAAGGGAGGAAGGGAGGGAGGGAGGGAGGCAGGGAGGGGAATCAATGAAGAGGAGTTATCTTTTGTTTTAATTGGAAATAATTTCCCCTTCCTCTGCATATAGGGTGTTCTTACACATTTAAAAGTTGAATAAGACCTTTAGTTTAATCCTCAGCAATGATAAAAAATTTTAAAAATTAAAATGGAATACGATACATATTATAAAAAAATATGAAATGAGGTATCCTTCCTAAAAGCTCAAGGGTTAGACAATGTAGGAAGGTTCACAGGTGACATAATCAGATTATGAGAACTGTAAAGTCATTAATGAGTTAATCCAAGACAGATAAATTTACTTGAATGAACTGCTGGGTGGTAACTGTAGGCAGACTGGAGGAACTCACTGGGGGTGTGGCCGTGGACAATATCTTGTCCTGGCTCCATCTCTTTCTCTGCTTCCTAGCTACCATAAGCTAAGAGCTTTTCTCTGCCATGCCCTTCCATCATTATGTTCTGCCTCACCTCATGCCCAAAGCAAAGGATTTGGTTGACCATGGACTGAACCACTGAAACCATGATCCCAGAATAAATTTTTCCTCTTCTAAATTGTTCTTGTCAGGTATTTTGGTCAGAGAAAGAAAGCTGACTAACTAGGTTAAAAATGATAAATTACTAATTTTGCTACCTAAAAATACTGCTTTTCTAGGCTTTTAGTGACCTTGTAGGTGAATAAGACAATTGACAGATGTGGGTGACAGGAGACGCTAACAGTCCTGAAGAATGAGACAACAGACCCAGGTATCTCTTTCCCTATTTCCTCATGTATCCTCAGAAGCCCAGGCAGATTTGGGGGGTAATCTTTAATGTTCAAATTCAGAGCTTCAGAACTCACAAGATATCTATGATAGCATAGGAGAGATTTTCTTCCACCAGTCCCAAACCAAAGTTAAAAGCATAATTTGGCTATAACCACAAGCACATGTGATCTGTGTGAGGAATTTCAACAAGCTGTCTACTTTCAGACCAATATTTCTCACTGGTGCAGCAGGATGAGAGGCGAGTTGAAGCTGGAGAGGACTTTGGACTAGAAAGAGATGTTGGGCTGACTGAGGTGACTTATCTCTGTGACAGCTGTCCCCTTAAAAATAAGCAAGTTTTAGGCCTTTGATATCTGAGAGCAGCCCCTGGTAAGAAGAAATGGTGATGAAGTAGAAAGGTCAGGATAAGATTCTTACTGTATGACTTTTGCCCTGTATGGAAGTGGCAGCAAGCAGTACAGTCAGGTGACAATTACAATTATAAAAGACTGAATTCTACATACAAAATGAGGCTTAGAAGTGTCAATGTATAATGTTCGAAAGTGAGGGCTACTCAAAGTCAAGAACCACAACTTTTGTCACAGTGGCTGGATGTGGTAGCACAGGCCTGTAATGCCAGCTACTCAGGAGGCTGAGTCAGGATTGCAAATTTGAGGCCAGCCTTAGCAAGTGAGACCCTGTCTCAAAACAACAATGACAACAAGACTGGTGACATAGCTCAATGTTAAAGAACCCCTGGGCTTTTTTGCTGCCATCTGCTCTGGGCGCCACCTCCTGCTCCTCCCATCTTTGCTGCCTCCCCGAGTCACTGCCTGGGCAGCTCCGACCGCCTGGCTCCCCGTACTAGCAGCCGGGTCTTCCTACCTTAATGAGGCTGGCCTAGAATTTGGAATCCTCCTGCCTCAGCCTGTGGAGTTGCTAGGATTACAGATATGCAGTACTGTGCCCAACTTTTCAGGTTTATTTTAAAAGTACCTGAAGTTTCTACAACATGGCAGACATTGACAAAAAAGAACAGTCTGAACTTGATCAAGATTTGAAAGATGTTGAAGAAGTAGAAGAAGAAGAAACTGGTGAAGAAACAAAAATCAAAGTGCGTCAGCTGACTGTTCAGATGATGCAAAATCCTCGGATTCTTGCAGCTCTTCAAGAAAGACTTGATGGTCTGGTAGAAACACCAACAGCATACATTGAAAGCTTGCCTAGGGTAGTTAAAAGACGAGTGAATGCTCTCAAAAACCTTCAAGTTAAATGTGCACAGAGAGAAGCCAAATTCTATGAGGAAGTTCATGATCTTGAAAGGAAGTATGCTGTTCTCTATCCACCTCTATTTGATAAGCGATTTGAGATCATTAATGCAGTTTATGAACCTACAGAAGAAGAATGTGAATGAAACCAGATGAAGAAGAGGAAATTTAGGAGGAGCTGAAAAAAAAGGCCAAGATGGAAGATGAGAAAAAAGATGAAGAAAAAGAAGACCCTAAAGGAATTCCTGAATTTTGGTTGACTGTTTTTAAGAATGTTGACTTGCTCAGTGACATGGTTCAGGAACATGATGAACCTATTCTGAAGTACTTGAAAGATATTAAAGTGAAGTTCTCAGATGCTGGCCAGCCCATGAGTTTTATCTTAGAATTTCATGTTGAACCCAATGAATTTCACAAATGAAGTGTTGACAAAGACATACAGAATGAGGACAGAACCAGACCATTCTGATCTCTTTTCTTTTGATGGACCCAAAATTATGGGTTGTATAGGGTGCCAGATAGATTGGAAAAAAGGAAAGAATGTCACTTTGAAAACTATTAAGAAGAAGCAGAAACACAAGGGACGAGGGACAGTTCATACCGTGACTAAAACAGTTTCCAATGATTCTTTCTTTAATTTTTTTGCCCCTCCTGAAGTTCCTGACAGTGGAGATCTGGATGATGATGCTAAAGCTATTCTTGCTGCAGACTTTGAAATTGGTCACTTTTTACATGAGCATATAACCCCGAGATCAGTGTTATACTTCACTGGAGAAGGTATTGAAGATGATGATGATGATTATGATGAAGAAGGTGAAGAGCGGATGAGGGTTATCAGCTCTTTGAAGAAGTCAAAAGCTGCAGTAAATCTTTTCAATAAAAGCTCTCTGGATGTCTCAAAAAAAAAAAAAAAAAAAGAACCCCTGGCATCAATTTTCAGTACTCCTCACCAACCCCTACTCCCTGGCCCTACATAAAAAAAAAAAACCTTTGTCACTTTGAAGCATTGTAAATAAAATGAACATCAATTATGAGTACAAAAGTTGGGATTCTTAACACTGAAAGCCATTTTTACATATGACTTAAAGTGTAATTTGACTAAAGTTATTCAGATGCAGCATCTATTAATTAAGAGAATGTTATGTACCAGGCAGTGTTTAGCTGCTTTTCATATTTCTCCATCTTATTCAAACATACACAGCTGAATAAAATAGTATAGCTGGATTTTGAACCATACATTTTTATAATTCCCAAGCATGAGCTCTTTCCATTTAAGATTTAAAATTAGCATTTATAAAGTTTGTATATGGTATCATTAGAGAATTCCAATTAAAAACTAGTAATTAATTAATAACTATTATAGCTATTATTTTCCCAGAGTGCTCAAATGAAGTATTCCTACTTGAAAATATGATGTTTCTATAATTTCACATATTCTATATATATTTATGTAAGCATGGAAGACTATCTCCGCAGATCCCAGCAGGTACTACTTTTTTTTTTTTTAAAGCAATTAAAGAGGCCTTACATTAGCTTTCAGAATTTTTAAAATGGCTAACTAGTTCAATAGACTAGAAAAAATCTTGTTAGATTCCTCAGAGTTACAGGTGTTTTTTTTTGTTTTAATAAGGAATTCCAGCTTATTTCATGGTAGTAGATTGGAAATTATATAAAAATGCTTGGTTATTATGAAATGCCTTATATACTATAGGTGGGCCTTTCAGACTCCAATAGCTGAAAGGTCTTAAACTACACCCAGAAAGACAACAAAAAACTCCCAAGCCACACATTTCCTGTATTACTGGAAATATTTTCTGGCAAGGTAATAGCATACCAGTATTCTTTTCCTTCAACCTGACTTATTAATTTTTTTAAAAAGCCATAAATAAATTTTGTAAAATTTAAGTCTACAACCACATATTAAGAATATTACAATTTAAGAAATGATGAAATTATTCTAAATTGTTTGTGTTCCACATGAACAATAAATTCTCTTATTTACTGCTAATAAAATAGTTCCATAATATAATATTTAAATAAAAATTTGAAGTTCTAAAAACATGCTATCCAATCAACAAATTTACTGAATATTTCATTGCATTAGAAAAAGAAAAGAAAAATAAAAACAATGAATTCATGGCAATTCAGTCCACATAATAACATGTTCACTTTGAAGAACTAAAACAGAAGCTGCCATTTCAGGTTTTGTTTAAGGTGTAGAAATCAATTTTGAAAGTAATTTATTTACTTAGTATATCCTATACCTTTTATAAGGCTAAATTATCTCTGCTATATAAAGTATATTTATAGTTAAAAATTTGTTAAAAATATATAATATAGCTATATAATATATAATTATATATAATATAATAATATAGTTATAAAACACAATATGAGAAACTAAGGTGATTCTGAAATAAATACATCTGAATTATGGGAAAACACCTTAATACACAAAAAAGGAATGAATGAAGAGATAATGAAATTTGTAGTCAGATAGGTTTTAAAATAGATGGACATCCCGGTTTTACAAGAGACTATTTTAAAATAAGAAGAAATTTATGATGAAGACTGAAAGTCTTCATTTTTAACAACACTTACTAATTAAAGCAAACAAAGTCCATTTGGATTACTCTTCAGATAAAAGGGATGAATATTTTCTTCTCTCAAAGGTTGCAAATACTCACAGTAAGGTATAAATCAGAATAATCAAGTATTTGATTTTCACTTTCAAACTCTAACTTGAAACACTCTGGGTTGTCAATAGGGAAGTAAAAAGAAAAATGGAAGGAATAAAAAAATGGTAGCAAATATTACTAGAATTTAGAGAATTATAAAATTATGATATTTGTAAAGCTTACTCCAAACTATATTTTTGGATTTAATAGGATTCAGGTAGAGTTGACTGTTTATTTGCAGACTCAAATAGTTTAATAGAAATTGATTTCCAGATCCAACAGGTTTCATTGCTATCAAGTACTTGGTCTTTTAACACAAAACATAAAAGAGTCAAGGACTAGACCCATGCCACTGTGGCCCGGAGTTCTGAGGCAGAGCCACCTCCCGCCTGTGCTGGGGTTCCTTATTCACCAAAGCTTGGCTCCACAGCCCAACATCAGGAAACATACAGGCTTGAGGCTGCCACCAGCAAGAAACTGGGATATCGCTGCTTCAATCAAAAGACAAAAATAAGGACCTGGTAAGATATCACCAAGGTCCCTATGGCCTAGCTGCACCAAAGGTTTCTCTACTAGGGGGGCTAACAGTTATCCTGTTGCTGAGGTAACAGAGTCTTGCATAGGGTTGCCTATCTCTTGTTTCTCCTACTAACAGCCAACTTCCTATGATTATCCTCTCAATAGTCATATAATCTAATACCTACATATTCTCACATCATACCTCATAAACATCTCAGCCAACCTCCCAGTACTCCTTTCCATCATCAGAAACTGTAAACCATTATGTAAACCTATTGATTATATGGTTGAAGACAACCAAACTCATCATTTCTGTTTATAGTGACAAAATGTAAATGTAAACATAGAAGCTAACTGATATATGGCTGCATGTTGGGTACATTGAGTTCTTTAATATTGATCTCTTCCTTAAAAGTGGGGTATTGGTAATCTATAGGCAAACTATAAGACAATAGGGCAGAAGCTATAATATCTTTGATCTACACTGCAAGAGAGGAAGACACATAGACATGAAAAAACAAAGAAACCAAGACACTACAACAATAGAATTAAAAGATAGTGAAGCAGGTAAAATATCAGAGAAGAAGTTCAGAATATACACAAAAAATGATTTGGGAATTAAAGAACAACCTAAGTGAGCAGATACAGGCAAAAATCATCATACCAATAAAGAGATAAGCAAATAAAATACAGGTTGCAAGAGATTACTTCAAGAAAGACAGAGAGATTTAAAAAAAAAAAACACACAAAAAACAGAAGTCCTCAAAATGAAAGATGAAAGAAATAAGCCAATTAAAAAACTCAATAGAGGGCTGGGGTTGTGGCTCAGTGGTAGAGTGCTTGGCTGCAGTATGCGAGGCCCTGAGCTTCATCCTCAGCACCACATAAAAAAAATAATAATAATAAAATGAAACAACAACAACCACCACAACAAAACAAAACAAAACAAAAAACCCCTCAATAGATAGCATCATCAAGAGACTAGACCACTTGGAAGACAGAACCTCAGACAATGAAGACCAAATATACAATCTTGAAAATAAAGTTGACTTCACTGTGAAGATGATAAGAAACCATACACAGAACATCCAAGAATTATGGGATACCATCAAAAGACCAAATTTAAGATATATTGGGATAGAGGAAGGTTCAGAGATTCAAACCAAAGGAATCCATAATCTCTTTAATGAACTAATATCAGAAAATTTCCCAAGTATGAAGAATGAATTAGAAAATCAAATACAAAAGGTCTATGGGACACCAAGTGTACAAAATTACAACCCATCTATACCAATACCAATTATAATGAAAATGCCTGGCATACAGAATAAGGATAGAATTTTAAAGGCCACAAGAGAGAAAAATCATATTACCTATAAGGGAAGAACAATTCAGATCTCAGCAGATTTTTAAACCCAGACTCTCAAAGCCAGGCCATCCTGGAACAACATATATCTAGCTCTAAAAGCATTGAATGCCAACCAAGAATCTTATATCCAGAAAAATTAAGCTTCAAATTTGACGATGAAATAAAAATCTTTCATGATAAACAAAAGCTAAAAGAATTTACAGCAAGTAAGTCAGCACTACAGAACATTCTTAGCAAAATATTGCACAAGGAGGAAATGGAAAAACAACAATGAAAATCTGCAAAGGCAAGAACTACAATAAAAGAAAAGCCAACCAAAGGAGAAACCAAATCAAACTTAATGCCAAAAAAAAAAAAAAAAAATGACCAGTAATACAAATCATATCTCAATAATAACCCTAAATGTTAATGGCTTAAACTCACCAATCAAAAGACATAGGCTGGTAGACTGGATTAAAAAAGACTCAACAATATGCCACCTTCGAGAGACTAATCTCATAGGAAAAGACGCCCACAGACTGAAGGTTAAAGGTTGGGATAAAATATAGCATTCACATGGCCTACATAAGCAAGCGGGAGTTTCCATCCTCATATCAAATAAAGTAGACTTCAAGCCAAAGTTAATCAAAAGGGATAAAGATGGACATTTCATATTGCTTAACGGAAGGATGCATCAACAAGACATAACAGTTATAAATATATATGTCCCAAACAATGGAACATCTACATTCATCAATCAAACTCTTCTCAAGTTCAACAGTCAAATAGATCACTATACAATAATTCTGGGTAACTTTAACATACCTCTTTCACTAATAGATAGAAATACCAAACAAAAGCTAAAGAAATAAACTATAGAACTTAATAATAAAATCAATAACTTAGACTTAACTGACATATATAGAGCATATTATCCATCAACGAGCAAATACACTTTCTTCTCAGCAGCACATGGATCCTGCTCTAAATAGACCATATGTTATGCCTCAAAGCAAATCTTAGTAAATACAGAAAAGTAAAGATACTACCCCGCATTCTATCAGACCACAATGGAATGAAGTTAGAAATCAATGATAAATAAAAAATAAGTACTATTCGAACCCCATGGAGACTAAATAATTCGCTATTGAATGAACAACGGGTTGCAAAAGATATCAAGGAGGAGATTAAAAAATTTTTAGAAGTAAATGAGAACACAATACAACTTATTGAAATCTCTGGGACACTATGAATGCAGTGCTAAGAAGAAAGTTCATTGCATGTAATTCATTCCTTCAAAGAAAAAGTCAACAAATAAATGACCTAACATTACAT